TATATATATATATATATATATATATATATATATATATATATATATATATATATATATATTCTGTGTGTATATATTCAGTTTCACCCCAACCCAAGTGCGCGCATTGATATCTGGTTTACAGCCTGGTTTGACTCTGATTCTGGGTCCCCCAGGTAGCGGCAAGACAGACACAGCAGCACAGCTAGCGAGTTTATTATATCACTCTAACCCTAACGAGAGAACTTTGTTAGTGGCTCACTCAAACGCAGCCCTCAATGATTTATTTAGAAAGGTAGCTGCGCTAGATGTAGACGAAACCAGGCTGCTGAGGCTGGGGAGAGGTTCAGCTGACCTGCAGCAGCAGCAGCAAACACTATGGCAGCAGCAGCAGCTAAGACTGCAGCAGCAGCAGCAGCAGCAGCAGCAAGGGGAGGAGTTGCTGCTGCCACTAGAAGGCTGTGATGATGTCGATGATTTCTCTTTCTCTAAACATGGAAGAGTTAATAAAATATTAGAAAAAAGAAAACATCTGCTGCTGCAGGTAGCGAGGCTTGGTGCATGCATTGAAGAAGAACTCACTGCTGCTGCTGCTGCTGCTGCTGCTGCAGCAAACAACAACAGCAGCAGCAGCAGCAGCAGCAACACACCTGTTTGTGTCTCAGTGGGAGACGTCAGCTCCAGCTGCGAGGCGGCGCTGCAGTTCTTCCGCTATCACATAGATTTCAGAAAAGAAAGATATGCTGCTGTCCTCGACAACATCAGGCGGCCCACCAGCAGCAGCAGCAGCAGCAGCAGCAGCAGCAGCAGCAGCAGCAGCAGCAGCAGCAGCAGCAGCAGCAGCAAGAGCAAGAGCAGCAGCAGCAAGAGATACGCAAGAAGATAGAGGCAGCAGTCGAACGATACGAACAGGAAAGAGGAAGCAGAATTTTCATCATGTTGCCTCTCAGCCTCAAAAAAACAAACCCAGAAGAACAGCAGCAGCAGCAGCAGCAGCAGCAGCAAGAGCAGCAGCAGCGTGAACAA